AGGGGTCCAGGTAACCGGGTGTGACTTCTGATATGACTTACAAAGATGGGGTCGTGCCTAGACCATATCAAATGTTGCAACTTACAAAGATGTTGTTGTATGTGTGATGTAGGAGAAACATAGGGAGCAGTTTCCAGTGGCAGAAGGATCTGGGATAGGTATACACTGTCAGTATACAGATTGAATGGCTCCTGGGAAAAAACTTGTAGAGCTAGGATACAAGCCATAACCTCGGCCAACTGCACTGATATATTGCCCACAGGAAACTTCGAAAGTGTGTCATAAGAGATTACTACAGCATTACCATGAGGGGATGCGCCCGTGAAGACAGTTTGAGCGCTGGGTATAGGTCTGGTCTTAATTACCCGGGGAAAAATTACCAGGTGATTTTTAAAAAATCCCAACAATGGGTGCTGAGGATAATGATTGTCAAGAGCGGCCACAGTGGAGGTTAAAAATAGCGTCCAATCATCATTATACTGCTGCAGATGTCATAAGGAAGCACGATTCTATCTGGGAGCTTTCCAAACACTTGTATGCTGGTGTGCCTAGCCTTCAAAATAACTGCAAAATCATGTTGTAATAAGGCGCAACAACTCTGGATGGCGACACTGGCAGGTGCACCCATATAATAGGCCCTGTGTGAAAATACTCCCATAGCTGAAAACTGGGATGCTAACACCAGAAATTGCAAAGGTGAATTATAGTCTATTTGTTGCAAATGAGCTTGTTCTATACTTTGAGATAATAACTGCAATGCCCTCTTTGCCTCTGACGTAGGCTTTCTAGGTGAGGTAGGGTCAGCATTTCCTATCAACATATTATATAAAGGCCTAAGTTCTCCTGACTTAATAGCTAGGGAGGGCCGTATCCATTGTATGTCACCCAGAAAACGTTGCCAATCATGTAATGTTCTTAGGTGAGCACTGTCAATATGTAATTTTTGAGGTCTAACGCCTCCATTGTGTATCACATGACCAAGATAATTATATGGGGAGACAATCTGAACCTTTTCAGGTGCAATAATTAGGTCAGAGGCCTCTAAGACTCGTTGCATCTCAGCAAATGCCTCTTGTAGTTCTTTGGTATTTTTAGCGGCTAGCAATATATCATCCATATAATGAATTATATAAAGGTCGGGATATTTTATTCTAATAGGTTCCAATGTAGCTGCAACGTATGCCTGACATATAGTTGGACTATTTGCCATACCTTGAGGTAGAACCACCCAGTGATAACGTAAGGCAGGCTTAGAAAAATTGGTGGCAGGTAGACTAAAGGCAAATCGACAGCAATCGTCAGGATGTAAAGGGATTGTAAAAAAGCAATCTTTTAAATCAATAACTATCAACTGCCAATATTTGGAAATTGCTACTGGAGAAGGCAAACCCTGTTGCAATGGTCCCATGATTTGCATCATAGCATTTACCACTCGAAGATCCTGCAGAAGCCTCCATTTTCCAGATTTTTTCTTTATGATAAAGATAGGGGTATTCCAGGGAGAGGTAGAAGGCACAATATGTCCAGCAAGCAATTGCTCTTGTACTAGAGCATGAGCTGCCCGCAATTTCTCTGTAGTTAGGGGCCACTGCTCAACCCATACAAGTTTATCTGAGTGCCATTTTATAGGTATGGGTGCGGGC